ACAACAATGCCCTAAAGACCACACTGTGCTCCGTTGGCTTGGATATGGAATCCTGTTCATCCTACTGCTATTAAGCTATAAAATATTTTCTACACCTTTTTTTCCAACTATTTTTTCCAGGTATTTACAATGTTAACTGCCACATTATAATTTTGCAGTCCTTATTGATTTTCCCCCAAGTATATTTCTTTTCCTGCTAGTTTGCATCATCTAGTGTGTATTTATTAGTGTTCAGTTCTGATAAGTGCTTTCCTATCAACCTCAACTGGTTCCTTAAAGTTATTTTTTACAAAACCTAATCCAGGTCTCTCCAAACACGCTTTTCCTGCACTGAACTGATAATCTTTGTGAACATGATACTGGAGTTGGGTGTCTCTGAAATATCAGAAGGAGAGAAAGGATTTTGTTGAGAAAATAGTTCTGAAAATCTGATGGAAATTCTCTTTTTTTCTTTTGTCAGAAAAACCACTAGTGTACCCAGGAATAGCTGTCTTTTTCCAGAATGCATTTATCTTTTTTGGGTAAGCCTGTTTTCCTTTGTTTATCCTTCTAAACTAGTGGTTTTCAAACTGTGGTACGTGAGAACAATCCTGTAATGGTGGACAACACATTCTATTTAGTAAGATTTGGCAATCTAATCAATTTATAATCTCCTTTCAATTAAAACTGCAGCCGCATTGGTATACATTTCCTTTCTGTTGTGTGACTCAGAATCAGAGGTTTTCAAACTGTGGGGCACGCAGGAACATTCGGGAGGGTGAGCGGTGATGCCATCCCTGCGCAGTGGGAGTAGAGGTGGCACTCCCTTCCCGCACTCTCCCCCCTGAACGTTCTTTTGCACACCCCCCCGTTTGAAAACCTAGACGCTGTTACTAAATGGAGGGCAGAAATCTGGGGAGGTGTCACGTAACCCCATGTGCACCCCACCCCTCACGTGTCGCCTCTGCCTATCTCACTTGGAGTTATGCAGTAAACTACATTATTTGGAAGGGGGCATGCAGCCTAAAAAGTTTGAAAACAACTGCTTTAAACTAAATCTAGTTAGTTTTAATGGCCCACACTGAACATTAGATATAAAATTAATCTATTCATAATTCCCTGTTACTGTTATTTCTAAGACAACCCCTACCCTCAAATCTTTTAATGATACGCATGTGGACAGACCTCCAGTGAAGTCAGTGGGGATCAGGGATCTGCCTATATGGATCTGCTTGCAGGATCAGAACCAAAATTTAATGACTACAAAAGTCTGGTTTATCTGAAATTTTATCTCCCAAAACTGGGAAATCTGAGCCTGCTTCCTTTGAAGTTGATGGCCCTTGTATTTTTTGCAATAAGCTTATGTATTTTATTCCTGTTTGGTTTATTTTTAAACAGAGGGCTGGTCTTTAAATTTGGCCGCACTGAAGACTTGTGGCAGTGAATGTGTCTGCAGAAGTGAGTCAAGCCCTATGATTTTTTTTACGGCACACACCTGATTTTATTTTATTTTTTTTGGTAATACGATTTTGTAAATGCTAGCTCTTGAGCTATTTCTGAGGATAAAAAGTAAAATATAAAATCAGGAGGCAATAAAATTTCCATTCTCTGTTCTGTTAAACTTTTTTTTACTGTTCTTAGATGTTGATTTTGTGTTAAAGCGTATTTGACTGAAATGTAAAACTAATAGGGAAAGTGTAACAATGGAAGACACTCTTGTGGAATGTTTGTTACAAATAAATAATATAGAGGAATAATGGCTGTATTTAACCCAGTGTTCTGCACTGTATCTGAGCTCTAAAACTGCAATTAAAAGTACTTTAAAACATTTTTATACTTATTTATTACAATATGGTATTTCCTGTATCTGATATTGAACAATATAAACATATCCTGGATTTCAGAACTGCGTGGCACTTTTTCACAGTGTATATTACACTGCCTCATTTGTTTTTATATGGAAAATATTGGACTAGTCATACTGAGACTGTTCAAAAATTTACAATAAAAATAGTTATTGGTGTGTAAGAGTTCATAGAGATGCACATTATTCTAGCAGCAGTACTCTGTGCTGTTATAGTTAATATTGATACTTGCTTTTTAAGTCCTTGTGTTAAACAGGAGCTGGACCAATAAGTGGTTGGGGGTTTGGTTCAAGGTCATTTCTGAAAAATCAAAATGTCTTTGGGATAGGGAAAGAAGAGAGTGAATGACTGTATCTGGGTGATTAGGACAGGCACCTGAGACTGGAGAGACCTCAGTTTAAGTCCCTGCTCCTATGACTAGTTATAAAAAGTGCAACAGCTCCAACAGGGGAGACTTGCCCCAGGATATCAGTATCCTGGGGCTTGGCCAGGACACTCTCCTGATAGGTGGGAGAGAAGTTCAAATCCCTGCTCCACCTAAGGGGGAAATGAACCTGCATCTCCGACATTCCAGGTGAGTAGCCTAAAACTTGGGCTAAAAGTTATAAGGGAGGCAGCTGCAACCACTTCCTCAAATTTCCTTTTGGCCAAAACTATTTATTTGGCAAATTTGTGTCAAATTCACAAATAGTTTCAGAGCTACAAACTGCATTTTTTTTTTTTTTTTTTTGGCAAATAAACTATTTGAAATTTTGCCTAGCGCTGTTAAGTGATGCATAACTAGTCCATGAAACACAATATAAGATACAATTTGCCATGCAAGGAAGTACAGTAAAATGCCTAATAGTACTCTCAAACACAATAGCTTTTCAAACAGCCCAAGCACATCCTTCAGGGGGAGGTTTGTCAAGCAGTAGGGAACCCATTCTCTGACCCAATTCTTGCTTTATGGTTCCCTTAGGCTGTGCAGGTGTTTCTGAATCCTTCTGGTGCCCTCAGATGTTGTTTAGGGCACAAACAAGGCTCCACCATCCTAGGCTACTTTTGTGTGTTTTCTGTGTTAAGTACCATAAATTCTCCCTTTAAGTATTGTTTGATCAAGGGATTCTAGTGGTTGGTCCCTATGACATGTTCCTCCAGCTGCCCAGGGGCAGGCCTGCTGTGGCAAATGCTCTGGCTTGATTTTTACCACCTATACCAGATACTTCCATCTTCCTTTCTATATAATTCTGGGCTAACAGGTTGTTGAACTTTCTGATGAATCTCAGCATTTGTTATACATTCATTCCATTTAATACCTACTATTTTCATGAGTCACAAACATTTAGATATCTCCCTATAGTTCTGGTGGTTTTCTAGCTTTCACATATATATGTTAAGGTGAAAATAACATTTCAGTTGAATATTCACATAGTTTGGTCTTAAACAAGATTTGGTCATCAAAAATCTATGATTAAAGTTGGAAAATGTACCTGCTTCCTTGCCAGTTTGAGTCTTAATTCCTGTCAAGGTATGTGAACTGAGTCACCTCTTGTATTCCTTTGCCTTCTAATGTAATACCAGAGTTTTTCTGGGGTTCTAATTTATTTTTTCCATAACTGATTTTTTTACCTTAACTTCCTTATAATGCTGAACAATCTTTTGGTCTTAGCTTTTTGAAATGATAGCTCAACTGATGCAATATCATCAGCAAAATCTAATTCTTCTAGTGTACTGCTATAGTCAGGCATCACGTAGTTTAATACTTTTTCCTCATAATTACAATGCCAAACAGGTGAGGGAATGCATTCTTGTTTAACATGAGTGTTTGTTAAACCATTCACTCAAGTCTGCATTTACTTTAACTGCCCAGGTCGTACCTTGACATAAAGCCCTGATGATGCTATTTTTGTTGGCATATCATTACACTTCATAATGTTCCTGAGTGAATCAGGATGGAGGCTGTCAAATGCTTTGGGCCATGAGTATTCATGTATTCTTAATCCACTATCAATAAACCAAACAGAAGCAATGCCCCAAGGAATAACTGAGAAATGCTGATCTAGTGCAGCTGTGAGGTTGAAGAGGCGGGAGGCTGGAAGAAATAGGCTACACCAGGGGTCGGCAACCTTTCAGAAGTGGTGTGCCGAGTCTTCATTTATTCACTCTATTTTAAGGTTTCGCGTGTCAGTAATACATTTTAAGAAGGTCTCTTTCTATAAGTCTATAATATATAACTAAACTATTGTATGTAAAGTAAATACGGTTTTTAAAATGTTTAAGAAGTTTCATTTAAAAATTAAATTAAAATGCAGAGCCCCCCGGACCGGTGGCCAGGATCCGGGCAGTGTGAGTGCCGCTGAAAATCAGCTCACCATAGGTTGTCTACCCCTGGGCTACACCAACAGAGGGTTTCAAGGAAAGAAACTGCCACATTTTTCTTTATGGTGTAAAAGGAAGCCTTAGCGGTTCTCCATCCACTAACAAAGTTGTACTCGGTTAAGTTAAGTTACTCCATTGAGTAAGAGTGTATATAGTTCTCTCCCTTAACTCTACTGTACAAAGACTGGTAATTTGTCACTAAGCTAACTTCTCAGGGTGGTTCCTCAATACCTCCTATGGCTCCTAATATCTATTAGGAGCACTGAGAGAATTAAATGCCCGGTCTGTAGAGGACAAAGTCTGTTAACCTTAATTCCTTCAGAGATGAGAAACACTTATAAATGGATTTAGTTTATAATCCAAATTTAATCAAGAATTAAGATTATGATTGAAATGGTGAACTACTGTATTTATCTTGTAAGAAGATAACTGCTTGATCTTATACTCTAATGGCTCTTTAAAAGGTTTAGTTATTGAATACTTAAAGACAACAGGCCAAGTTTTAAAGTTCATGTAGCTGTAGTAAGGATGAATTTGGCCCCTTTGTATTTTCCACAGTTCCTGAATTCTACTCTTCAGTTTAGTGAGCTCTATTCTCGCTCCTCTCCACCAGAAGCATATATAGGTGGGGGAACTAGACAAGCCCTCTGCATAAATCAGGACAGTCGAAGTAATTTTGGTTTGAATGTGCCTTTAGCTAGGGGTGTGCAAAATCCTTTGAGGGCTAGGCTGCAAATTTTGCCCATTTCCCCCCCGCCCCCCTTACCCTTATGTTACCTTGTGCTGTACACTAGTCTCAGGCACAGAACTAGGTTAAGTGATTCCTCCCAGCACTTACTGCATAGCAGAAGCCACTTAAGAAATAGCTCCTCTTTCTTTCAAGCATCCCCTTCAGATTCCCTGGGAAGGAGCTGGAGAATTCTGCCTCAAACTGATGAACCATTTCTGTGGTCCTGGGACAGTCAATACAAACTGGATGATCAGTACAGACTGGAGCCTAGTTGTAAGTGGAATGCAGCCCCTGGCTCTCTGGCTATGCTTTCCATTCTCCTAGAATGGTGGACCACATGTAGAACTTTTATTCCATAACTATTCATGGCTCAAGTAATAACGCATGCAGATATACGAGCAGCCCTTTTCCCTTCAGTATTTAAGGTTAGGACTACTGGTTGAGCAATGGGGAAAAACATCTGAAAATTTGGGTTAGTGTAAGATGTGAAGTAACATTTTAAAAAGTGTCACTTTACAAAAAATTAATACTGACTGCACCAGATTCAACCCACTGCTGGAAAATTAAAAACAGATTGCGCTTAAACTGGAATCTTGGACACTTATTAGGAGGGAAATAAGTATAACTGCTAGGTAACACTGAGATGAGGCAACTATATTGGTTATATTCTATACATGCTCTATGTTCTGGTCCCATACTCAGCTTCATGGACTCAAGTAATTGCATAGATTCAGCTCCTATCTGTTTTAATGGGAGTTCTGTGAACATTTGATGGAATTAGAGCCATGCAAATATCCACAGCTATCTACATGCAGAGATGCAGATGTGGCTGTATTGTTTACTATCTTTGCAGATTGCAGCTCAGATCCAGAGCCAAATTTCTGTAGGCGTGCCGGGCTCTAGAAATAAGCAGGTCAGCGATCATCTCGTGACTCAGAAATATAGAACAATAGCACTTCCTCTACCAGAAACTCTTTTGATACTGCCAATGGAGTAATGAGAAAAGTAACACTCCATTTCCCTTTAGAACTAATGGATCAAGGACAGTATAAGTTTCTTCTTGTATCAAAGAATATCATCTGTTATGGCAGATTATTGCCAGTTTGCTTTATTTTCAAGCAAGTGTACTCTGATTAAAGACAACCGATACTTGCAATTTCTTTATTAACGTAGGCAATTGAAAAGCTGTGAGTGAGACAAACATTCTGAAATGAAGGAGAAACTCTACCCAGATGCTTAAAAGGTATCTAGTTGCCTCACTCATTGAAATCCAGGGTGGGCACATGCCTAAACACCTTCTGAGGATCTAGAAATCAGTGACTAAGGCTTCAATCCTACAAGGAGCTCCATGTGGGTACAGGAATCTGCTTGCACAGAGTCCATTACAGCATTAGGGCTAACTATATACTAAGACCCTGATCCTGAGTTCCATGCAGGCAGGCCCTTGTGGTGACCTACTGAAGTCTATGCAGAACTAGGGCTTTAAATGCCATCAGATGGCAATACTATTAAGCATTACTTTTAATTATTGTATATACAACATTTTCAGACCAACTGATTTTTTTCATATTGACTGTGGCCCTTTAAAATACAAAATAAAGTTTGTTCATTAATATTCACTCCCACAGCACCAGGTTTTTTACATTGTTTCCTTAAACAAGTGTTTAAAGGTAAAACATTATTTAAATAGTAAGATTTAAATAACATTAAACCAGGATAAAGCCATTTAGAAACTGGTTTATAATCAATTAAGCCTGTGGCCAATACTGTCTGCGTTACACATTTTGGGCACTATGCTTCAAGCCCCTTACTCACATAATTAGCCCCATTCAGGTCAATGGGACTACTAACGTGAACAAGAGGCACTTAGTCAC